TACAACCTCTCATTTTCCCAGGTCATTTATTTTTAAATCTCCTATGTCTTGTACCAAACAGCAAGAAATCATTTTTTCTCTCTCAAGGATTCTTTTCTTTTTACAACTCCTTCATGAAGAGACCTAAAATGAATTCCAATAATCATTTGGTAGAAACGAAAAGTCCCTAACCATGAATATAAAGGCAGTCCTTTTCCCCCCCACTACTCTCTTTGTTAATAGTTTCAACAGGGATCTCATTAGCATGCTAAGTAAGCAAACCCGACACAAACAGCTTATTTGGGAATGTGGGCAATCGTGTGTAAGCGATATAGAGCATCTTGCATATAGAGGCTAAGAAATGGGTTTGGAAAATCAGTAGAGACCAAACAACAGAGGATACCATAGACTGAGTTAAGGGAGGTGGATTGTTTCTCCCTTAAAGTCCGATGGAAGAAACTATTTTAATATATTTTAATTGAATTTATTGGGAACACTTTGGTTTCAGGTGGACAATTCCATAGTACATCCTCTGCAAATTGTGTTTTCACCACCTCAAGTCCTTTCATCACCATTTACCCATTGATCTCCCCTTTATTCTCTTCGACCTCCCCCAACCCTGCTTTCCCTCTGGTAATCACCGTTTTGTTGTCTGTGTCTAAAAGTTTGGGGGGGGGGGTTGTTTGTTTGTTTGTTTTGTTTAATCCCTTCGCCTTTTCACCCATCCCTGCAACCCACCTTCCTCTGACAGCTCTCAGTCTGTTTTCTGTCTAATAGCCTGTTTCTGTTTTGTTAGTTTATTTTGTTCATTAGATTCCACGTATTAGTGAGATCATATGGTACTTGTCTTTCTCTGACTGGCTTGCTTCACTTCATATAATGTTTCTTTGCTTTGTAACAGAAGACAAGAAACTAATCACTAGATATGAATTCAAATTCCTAAGGCAGTCAAGTAAATGAATAAGACAAGGGGAGGGACAGGGACTGTGGCAAGCTTGACAGCCGGTGACTGATAGAAAAGGGACAGCTTCTGTCACAGCACAGTCCAGCAGATGCAGTGCAGCTAGAGCTTTCTCAGGAGAAGCTGGAAATTTTAAAGTTTAAAAATAGCTTTATTAAGGTATAACCGACAAAGCATAAAATCTGCATATTTAAAGTGTACAAGTTTACATTTTGATTCATGTATACCTCCATGAAGTCATCACCACAGACAACATGATGAGCATACCCACCCCCTCAAAAAGCTTCTCATGCCCTGAAGCCATCACTTAACTCCGCCCCCCCCGCCCCCTCCCCCCAAGCCAAGGCAGTCACTGACCTGCTTTCCCATGCTATCGGGAATTTTTCATTTTCTAGAATTCTATACAAATAGGCAATTCAGTATTCACTCTTTTGTGTGGTTCCACTCAGCAGTTATTTTGAGATCCATCCATGGTGTAGGGTTTAGGAACAGTTATTTTTTTATTGCTAGGCAGCATTTTGTTATATCAAAATATCACAGTTTATACATTCATCTTATGGTGGCTATTTGGGCCGTTACTAATTTTCAGCTGTTAAAAATAAAGCAGTTAAAAACACTTGTGCATACATATGTGTATGGACATATGTTTACATCTCTCTTGAATAAATACCTAAGAGTAGGATAGCTGGACATATAATAGGAATATGTTTAATTTTTAAGACACTTTCTCAGTGGTTTCACCATTTTACATTTCCACTACCACTATTTGGGGATTCTAGATCACAAAAATCTGCCCAACACTTAATAAGACCAGTTTTAAATTTTAGTCATTCTAATATGTGTGTAGCGGTATCTTACAATGATTTTATCTTGCATTATTCTAATGGCTAATGATTTTAATCATCTTTTCATGTGCTATCCTTTATCTTTTTTGTTAAATGCTGTTCAAATATTATACCAATTTTTGGTTTTGCATTTGTATAAGTGTTATAGTTTCATGTTTTACATTTAGGTCTATGATACATTTTGATGTAATTTGTGAATATAGTATAAGTTATAGGCTCAATCTCATCAATTTGTTTATGGACATTAAAAAGTACTATCTTTTCTCTGCTAAATTGCTTTTGTACATTTAATGAAATTCATCTCTCTCTATATGTGTGTATCTATTTCTGAATTACCTATTCTCTTCCATTGATGTATTTATCCATCTGTATGCCAAAACCACAAGGCCTTGATTACTACAGTTTTACTTTATGTCTCAAAATCAGGTAGTGTTATACCTCCAACTTTTTCAAAGTTGTTTTAGCTATTTTAGCACCTTTGAATTATTTTCATATGAATTTTATAATAGACTTACCATTTTTCACACACATGCATTCAAAGAAGCCTGATATAATTTTGATTGCCCTATATCCCTGGCTAAGATTTTCAGCATGATGCTAAATGGAAGTGATAAGACCAGACATCCTGGCTTTCTTCCCAACCTTAGATGGGAAACATTCTTGATTAACTATGATATTAGCTGTAGGTTTATTATAGATGCCATTTATCCAGTGAAGACAGCCATCTTCTATTCCCAATACGCCAAGAGTTTTGTTCAGAAATAGATTTTATATTTTATCTGAAGTTTTTACTGCATCTATTGAAAAGATCATACGATTCTGAATGCCATTTTAATACTTTACCCTGAAGATATTGCTCCAGTATCTTTATTGAATTATTTTCTTGTTTTGATAAAAAATCTGTGGTGCTCATTTTTGTTCCTCTGTACATGTCTTTATTTTTTCCTCTACTTGGTTTCTTAAAAATTAAATTTATTGGGGTAACATTAGTTCATAAAATTTTATGTTTAAAGTGTATAATTCTACGATATGTCATCTGTATATTTTATTGTGTGTCCACCCTCCAAAGTGAAATCTTCTTCCATCACCATATATTTGACCCTCTTAGCCCTTTACCACCCTCAGTTTATGACTTTGTTTTCTTTATTCATTTGCACAACTTAATTATGGTGTGCCGTGGTGTAGTTTTCTTTAGGTTTTTGTGCTTAAGGTTTGTTGAGCTGCTTGAAAATGTAGGTCTGCTGTTTTCTTCAAATTTGAAAAACTTTTGGCCATTATTTCTTTAAATATTCTTTCTGCCCCTACCTTTTGGAGATTCCACATGTATTAGACCTCTTAAGTTTGCCCCACAACCCAAATGGTTTCTCTCTCTCTCTCTCCCTCTCCTTCCTTCTCTCTTTCTCTGTACTTCACATTGGATTATTTTTTATTGCTATGTGTTTAAATTTAGTAAC